ATTTCGGGCTGTTACCATTCTCCCCCACTAGAACCACGCTTCACCCTCGAAGTCTCATGTCGAAAAGAACTCTGGATGCTACTCCCGCATCTCCGACTCCGGCTCCTAAGTCAGCTCGGACCCCTCCGATGCTGCCACTGAACTTTAACTAAGCGTGCCTCCTTGTTTCTTAGAACCTTGATCTTCTGATCCAAGATTGCAATCGGCCTCTCGACATATTTCAAACTCGCGTCCACCTGGATATCCTCTAGTGGTACCACTACCGACTCATCGGCTATACACTTCCTCAGTTGCAACACGTGGAAAGTATCATGAATCTAATCCAAATCTGCAGGTATCTCCAACCGATATGTTACCCTGCCCACCCTCGCGATCACTCTAAACGGCCTAATATACCGGGGCCCAGCTTGCCCTCTTCCTGAATCGGATCACTCCTTTCCAAGAAGATACCTTCAGGATCATGAAATCCTCGACCTGTAACTCGAGCTCGGATCGTCGCCTATCCGCATTACTCTTCGAGCGACTCTGAGCGGTCAAAAACCTTTATCTGACGTGCTTTATCTGCTCTGTCGTCTGAAGCACTATCTATGTACTACCCATCACACGTTGCCCTACCTCACCCCGGCAAATGGGGGTTTGACACCTCCTCCCATACAACAGCTCAAAGGGTGGCATACCAATGCTCGAGTGATGGTTGTTGTTATAGGAAAACTCAGCCAAGGCCAAATACGTGTCAACTCCCGCCAAAATCCAGTAGACATGCCCAAAGCATGTCCTCAAGCGTCTGAATCGTCCTCTCACTCTGTCCGTCGGTCTGTGGGTGGTATGCGGTACTAAAATGCAGCCTCGTACCCAATTCCTCATGAAATTTCTTCCAAAATATGGAAGTGAAACGCACATCTCAATCTGAGACAATCGAGATCGGTACTCCATGCCGCGATACCACCTCCCTCACGTACAACTCTACCAGCCTCTCCGCAGAAGAGCTCTCACTAATGGCAAGTATTGTATGACAATGAATACATTCCACACTTTTCCTTTCAACACCATCATCCTATATAATCCACACCGGCTCGAACGCTACCCAACAAGGAGCGGTTCCTTTACCATTATTCCTTGCTCTTTCTTGTTTTCTAGTAATTGGTTTTGGCACGCCTCCATTCCTTTTTCGTTTCTTAGGACTTGGATTTGGCACGTCTTCTTTTCCAGATCCGTCACTAATATTATTAAATACCAGTGGTGTCTCACCAATAAAATCATCTTCATAATCCTTCTTTGGAAAATAAGCTCAAAAAAATATTATATATCACCAAGCAAAATGAGTTCAAAAAAGAAATTTGATTCAAAAGCTCATCCCTAAAAAGAACAATCACCAAATCAATCAAAAGGAAAATAAAAAGAAAATAAAAACAGGTTGCAAAATCATGTGAAAGTCATTCATCACATTAATCTCAAATATTATATGTTATATTTTCTTTTTTTCCTACGTGCTTGCTTACTCCACCTCTTCACATCTCCTTTCATTCATGGGTTCTACCATTAAGTCATTAACAATATGTTTCAATTTATGATTCAGTGCCATATCTTCCATCATGTAAGTAGGAAAAAACAATTTCTATTCTACCCTATTATTCAAATGTAGGTTCTTCATAGGATAAGTGTGGTATAATATAAGGCAACAAAGTTTAGCATACACTATTGTTTCATAAAACTATTTTCTTCAAATTAATCCAATTTCTACGCTTAAATACAAATGAACCCATAACGAATATCATAAAGGCTCAATAGTCATTATTATTTAGCTATAAAGGTTGTTATATAACAACGACTAATTAAATACATAAAATAAAACTCACAAACAAAAACTTTATTCAAGCAAAACCCATACAAGCATCCCTAGCATACGTTGCACCTGTTTATTAAGAGATCCCTGGCACCAACAATTTTTATACAATAAGCAACAATAGCAACAATGACTTACTTGAGTTTCATCTTCTGTATTAACCCAATTTCTTGAATTTGGCTTCTCCATTGTTTCCTAAAATCGATTTTTTTTGTTAGGATCGGTTTTTTTGTTCACAATGTCGACTAGCGATCGTGATTTCCTAAGCCCCAAATAAAACCGATCGTCCCTATTTTCCTCTGTGTGGTGATCGACTTTTTTTTTTAAATCTTGGACTTTCCGTTTTGTGTTTAGGTTAATCAAGGAATAGATTAGGAATTTAGGAAATATCGATATACACTCAATTAGATAGTATTTTGAAAATAGATTTTGCATGGATCGACTCTTACACTTCCGAGTCGGTTCCGGATTTTTAATCGTTTTTTGTTAGAACCGAACCGGTGGTAGACCCGGAACCGGTTTTGCCATAAGTTAAGAACCGATAACCGAACCGCTCTACTAATTTATGTTTCTGGTCCGGTTCCGGTTCCGGCAGTTCAAAAGCTCATCCCTAGTTTTGACTATAATAAAAATTAAATTTTCACCCTTGATTTTTGGGTCGTTACATCAAGCTTAGGGATGACAGGATGCGAAACATTATGAACCAAATCCGTACCCCTAAGTTTAGTGAACACATGAGCATAATCTTGAATGAAGCTCCCAGACTGAGGTATCTCATCCCTCTAGGCTTCTAACCTAATGTGTTTATTTCTAAAGAAACAGAATTTATGAACATGCATGAAAGCAGAGATTTCCACATGAGTGGCAAGTATCAAGCCTACACCAAAGACAGAATGCCATGAATACTCAGGGCTAGTGTAACAATCAGAAATACCCGAGTAGAAGTGGGAACCAACGTCAATGGACCTTATATCAAAGCTATCTAAAGAAACATAATGGTTTCGATTTTATTCAGGCAGTGGTTCACAGATTGACTAATTCTGCCCACTTTCCACTAATCTAAGAACCACGTGAAATGGAAAAGTTGGCCAAGAAATCGTCAAGGTTCCGATTGCTATGACAAACTTGAATAATTCATAAGGTACCCATTGTTGTTAATTAAATTTTCCCATGAAGATAGTTGTCACGCCAAAATAAAGACCTCATTGTTTGACGATTTGTATGACGAAAGTGTTGATCCTCGATGTGTTGAGCAATGATTCAAGGTGCGAAAGTGAACAAAGAACATGCTGGTGATGCGTTGCATTTTGATCCATCAATCACACATGATATCAAAGAAAAGATTATGTAATCTAATAATGATTACATGATGTACACGAATGACAAAGGATTTATGTGAACAAAAAAATGTTAGTCTCTCGACTTCCAAGTCAGAGACCGGGTAACTTTAAAAGCTTTCCCTTTAAGAAGAATGATTCGACTTAGAGAACGAGTCAAGTTAAACCACGACTTAAATGAACTTCGAGATTCTTAGACAGAATTTGGTCCTAATCTTTATATCAAGTCGTCTTGAGAACTAAACAGCATGCACGATGTTTTCTTCATACGCCAAATCGCTTTTTATATCTTTCAATAAAGTGTATTATGATATAATACTAAAATTTCATGTTCGTGAATCTACACACGATTAAATTGTATGTAAGACTCGACAACCTTTAAAATATTTGAGTCGATCTTATCCGATATTACCTATCTATAGACACTTGTGGAAAAGTCATCTATTGAATCAGTTGTCTAATTTAGAAATATGCGGCTTTAAACGACTATAGAATGATCATGTATGAATCAAACGAAATGAAAATGCCACCAGTTATTTTATAATATCTATCTAAACATTGAATTTCAGGAGGGAATTCCTTTCAACGGGTGGATAATGTAACAATTGGTAAAAATCTATCAGAGTTCAGCGGTCAAACCATCGCGAACCGCTAGGTATTAATGACTAATTGTGTGTAGTTTTATGTTTATAATGTATATTAAATTAATTATATTTGTAAATTCTTTTAGAACGTCTGAAACTGCTCAAACCGTCTATCGTTGAAGATTGAATCTATAACTACTAAAAATTAAATTCTATTTGTGACATTATAAATTAATTTTTTCATTAATTATATTTGAGAATTATGGATAAGGGATTTGAGTAGATTACGTTCTCCTGATTTCGTGAATATACAGAACGTCCAAAATGAAAATCGTATGAACACGTTACGCCACTTGAAAGTTATAAAAATTAGTATTTATCTGATTTTCCTAAAACGGATTGTACACTCCTTCGTTTGGGATAGCTACGAATCTCGTAAACTGTTTTTGAATTCAGACTATGGTCTATTATGTTATTATATTTTTAGAATATTTTAACCTCTACCAAAATTAGATTTGTAAAATCCGTCGAATCCGATCCAATTAATCGTGAAACTTTAGACGTAAATTCACGAAGTTTGGTACGTCGGAATTAAATTCCGTCCGTGTTTCTAGAATCACAACGATCAAGACAACAAGCATTTTCAGGAAAATTTTACGAAACGAATCAGTGGTACGAGAATTAAGAATCGGAGATTACATCACAAAATATATATCTAATAAATTAATAATTTTAATGTCCTTTTGATAAGAATCGTTTTAATACAACTTCTTATTAATATTATGTTATGTGTCGTGTATTTATATTAGATAACTCGTTTTAAAATTTAAATTTATATTTTTTAATTATATGTTAAACTTGAAGTTATAATAACTTTAAAATTTTGATATATCTTTTAATTAATAATTTATTTAAAAAAATTGATTAATAATTATAAATTTTTATAATAAAAGTTTAATAAATTTTATAACCGTGGTTTTCATAATTATAAACTATAGACTAATGAATAAATAAATAAAATACACATTGATTGACTTTTACCCCAAATATATTTTAAAATTCTGATTTGTACCACAAAATCATTTTTAAACAACAAAAACACAAAAACTCAGATTTTCTTTTTACATTGCTTTCAAGATTGGATAAAGCTGAGCTGCTTCCCTCCTCCTCCCTCTCCATTTGTTCTCTTCGATCGTACCATCCAAAAAAAAAACACCTCCTGCCTTCTTCATGGTTTCAACTAGGAACAACACCACAAAAAATTCTATTGATTTTCTTCTCCTCCTTCGGAGGCTGCCAAGAAGTACCTAAGAGGGCCGTCGCCCGTTTCTTCTTCGTCCTTCCTTTTTTTTTCCTGCCAAACATCCATTTTGTTCATACCATTGATTCCTGTTAAAACAAACAAAATCCCAAAAGAAAATTCTTACCTATTGTTGACCGGAATTGCCAAAACAATGGGGGAACATCGTGATTGTTGGCTGCCAACCGGACATCCATCGGACCTCTTCTGCCTCTCGTACCTCACCCACGCACCATCCCTTCGGACACCGCTGCTGGAACCGACGAGGAACCTGCCGGTGCAGCCCCTCTCACCACTGTTGTCGGCAACATCGTGCTGTTGTGAGTTCCAACCACCGCAGACCCACCTCCTTTCCCCTATCTCATTCTCGCAACATGAGGAGGAACGGTGACAGGAGGCTGCCACCGCTAGCAAACTACCGCCATCACCGAGCTGCTTCTGCCCATGTCCTTCTTCGGTCTAGTCGACCGACGGAGCACGCCACTCGGGTGCGATGGGTCTGCAATCGGCGGACGAGAAAGAGAGAGCCTCGCTGCTTTCGTCTCTTCTCCTCCTTCGGTTCGGCCAAGCACTGGAGCCGCCTCCCTCTTCGTGATCGGCCGGGACGTCTGTAGTAGCAGCCGCGCGCCTGCGAGCTTCCTTCTCGCCATCTGATTTCGTTGCTCCGTTCGTAACCCCATATCCCCTTTTCCTTCTTTCCCCAATCTGATGAGGACGATGAGACGCATCCACCCCTTTTGTACATTAGTGAAGTTAGCAAAAACAGTCCCTTCAAATGCAGTTTTAAATTAAAATAAGACACTTGACATAAACCTTTTCAAAATCAGTCCCAAAAGATTTAAACATTTCAAAACTAGCCCTATTGGATATAATATATCACAAAATTAGTCCCTTGTGTAAAATAAATTGCAAAACAGCCTTTTACTTTTAAATATAAAAATATTTGAAAACAAGTCGCTTTATTTTAAAACATTACAAAAGAAACCTGGAAACGTTTGAAAGTCCAATAATGGTTACGTTGCGACTAATCACGAAAAGCTTCCTCAAAACCGAGTCTAGATCGAGATCACGCATCGAATTTGACTTTCTACAACCCCTGTTTTACTGTTTTAATATTTGGGGGAGAATATATGCTTGTTTAATTAAGTTTTGATGATTTACAGATTTTTATACATTAAAATAACATCGTACTTCATATTTGGTCGAAAGCTTATGAATTAGTAATCTAAATTGTATAAATCATATATAAGTTAAATAAGTTAAAGTAGAATGCTATAAATGACATAAATACACCTTGTTGTGATATATTAATTAATATTACTAAAATCACAATATTATATGTAAATTGCAATAATAACACCGGTTGGTATTGTAAATCACAAAAATGACGATTTTATATGTATAAGTTAAAGTATCGACTGGAAGAATGAAAAGATATACAAATGAGCAAAAATATTATTCGAGTATAATACGAAAGTACGTTGTCATATTTGATGAAACAAAAAAACTAGATTTATGAAAATATATAATTAATAGTTAAAATTATTGAAAACTAACTTTTAATATAGGATAAGTTATGTAGAAATGATTGTAAAATTTATTTTTATATTTTTATATTAAATATAAAAAATATAACTCATTCTATTAAATTATGGATTTCATTTCAATAAATAACAAGATCGACTTCAGAACTTAAGAGTCGTTATTTGCGACATATTTACATTGGATTAATCGTGTTAATTGCAAATATTATGGAATTGTTGGTTTCACGTTGGTTGAAACCTGGAAAATATTATATAAGCAGTCGTTATGTTGCCCAAATTTCATCACATCCACATGACGTTTGTATGAGCTACGTTTATTCTAAAAGCTTTATGTGTTGGGATCATTTCTTAAGCTGCATGGGCTATGTTTGTAAAATTCTAAGACGGTACATCTTAGTGGAAAGTCCTTTATGTCATTACCGTTAATTAGTATGGAACGAGTAACGCCAGGTATAAATTCAAGATCACATACTTATATGGGTTGATATCCCGGCATCAGTTGCTAGCTACAATCATTAACTGACAAGTATGAATAAGCGTTGGCATTTCCTAAACGATAAAGTCCCCGTGAATAAACAAACTTGGGTGTGGACTTTAAGCACTAAAACTTGTAAGTATTGGTTGCAAAGGCGTTCGTCGAGGTTCAGTTATGACCTCATTATAGATCTCGAGTTTGCCTTGTCACCGTATAGAACCGATATTGGGTTTATATGGGGTTTTGTTTAGTATTACTAGTTCAAAGAGACGGTATGTAGTGGGATAACTTGTGACTCAAAAGATAAGTGTCCATACCAGAAATTAAGTTATATAATACCTAATTAATATCAAGAGACGGCTGATTAAGGTTCAATAACTTACAAATAATAAGTTATTCATATAGACATTTTGTTCTTGTACGAAAACACAATATGTATGTGGGAGGAGTTTGCGTCACTGTTTAAGTGTCGGTTCTCAAATTAATTAAGATAATAATTAATAAATACTACGACACGAATTTACAAAGTTTATAAATTAGAAACTTATGAGTTTTATGTATAAACTATACAAATGCTTGTACAAGGTTTCAAGAGTAAATTTGGATATTTATGTTTTCACAAAGAGTGATATGACTTTTTTCATATAAATTGGTATTATAAATCTTTATATAAAAATCACTTTTGGTCATGAATAGCGTAAAGACTTGTTATAAATTTGATTTTCTTATCATTCGACAAAGTTATATTTGGATTTAAACAAACGACATATCTTTAAATGAATCCAAATACACTTTTAAAACTCGTTTATTTTTATAATGTTGATAAAAAGGATAAGTATTTATATAAGCTAGTCACCCAGAGAAATTTTATAAAACATTTTTGGATTATAAAACTACGTTGTTTCAAAACCTGTAGAACTCACCAACAATTATTGTTGACATATTTTAAATGCATGTATTCTCATGTTATTTAGCAGGTTGGAAGTATTCGCTCAGAAGACTCTCCGTTATTCTTATTATACATTGTAAACGCCAGATTGTTAGGCATGTGTCACGATTTAGCATTAGCCATTGTCAATAGAGATGCACAAAACCCGAATCCGATCCGATCCGATCCGGATCCGAATCCGATCCGGTTTCTCTTACGTCATCAAAAATCTGATCCGGTCAAAATCCGATCCGAATCCGGTCAAAATTCGATCCGATTCTAACCAAAATCCGAATCCGATTCTAATCCGATTTGAAACCGGTTTAAACCGATTTTAGTGGGTTTTAATCGGATTTTGGGGCGGATTTGGATCCGGTTTTTAGCGAATCCGGTTTACGATCTGGTATCAAATCCGATTTGGAATATAGGATTAGGATCCGATTGAAAATCCGGTTTTAAATCCGATCCGATCCGGTTTGGTCAAAACCGGTTTTGACCCAATCCGGTTTCGGATTGGATCCGGTTTTGAATAGTGAATCCGGTTTTTGTGTGCATCTCTAATTGTCAATATAATTTGTAACATCCATAAAATTAGAGCCAAATTAAAACTTTTAAAAATCATCCAAAACCATTTTGTTATTACAATTTGTTTTCAAAATAGTTTAAACATCAGAGTTCCTATAAATCATAATCATCAATCGAGGAAATGTACGGTCACGTCTTCGCCTTCCGCGGTCATCCGCTGAACCTGAAACAATAAACTAAAATTGTAAGCTCGACGACTTAGTGAGTTACCCCCAAAATACCAACGCCATACCGATACAACCATAACATATAGCATATAAGTAACAAAACAACCATGCATCTCGAGTCTACAATGTGACTGATCCTCCTGCACCGGTTCTTTAGCCTGACTGGACCGCCTCGCATGCCTTTAGTCTATTTGGACCGCTCTTTGAGCCTTCGGCACGTCTACACCGCCTCGCAAGGCCTTCAGCCTATCCCGACCGCTCGTTGGGTATGTTAGCCTTCAGCACAAAGCAGGACCGCCTCAACCTAACCCCCAATCAAACAACCATGTTCACATATAACAAATAATCACATAACAGTCTATAGACAATAAACCGATGTAACTGATCAAGAGCATAGCAACATCCTATAACCAGGATACCGAACTAACCGATCACTAACATAGCATCATCCTATATACCAGGATACCGATTTGCGCTTAAACATCATATGCTAGCTCATATTATATAACAGTCAAAACGATCTAACATATCACTAATCATAGCAACATCCCAATAATCGGGATACAGACCTAACCGGTCACTAAGCATAAGCATATCACCATACTAACTACCAGGATGTAATCAATAAACATAGCATGCCATAATTCGGATACAAATCCATAAAGGACCAGCCTTGGTGCCTTCAACCCTATTGATATAGTGATCATAACTCACCTGACATTGCTGAAGCTTGGTTGATGCACTTCTCACTACTACTGGAAAATTCCCGAATTGTTGATCCTTCAGCTCCCCGAACTATCAATACCAACATAACACTTAGATCATAATACTCTCAAAGGTCAAGTTAGGTCAACTCTGGTCAAGGTCAAAGTCAACGCACCGGGTTGACTCAACTCTCTAATTGGATCCATCAACACGTCGAGTTCCAAAACTCAGAATCCTGAATTTGCGACCCAACTCATTGATTTTCCTGGCTACTCATGTTCGTGACTCATCCCATCAACTCGCTGAGTCACTCCTCGGACTCGTCGAGTTCAACCATGCAGAATCGGGAAAATCCACCTCGACTCGTCGAGTCCCTTCCTGGACTCGTCGAGTCCCTTAGTATGATGAGCTAACTTAATGGGTTAAGCCCGTATACTTTAGATTCCAACTCCAAACTTTGAATACACCCTGGAAATGACCTTAGAAGGGGAAATTTTCCAACTTTACCCTATAATACCCTTGCTTGAAGTATTTTACTCAAACCCTAACTCTTAAGGACCTAGATCTTGGTCCATAAGTCACCTACACACCACACCAATGCATCCAACATAGATATGGACCCAAACATCTCATAACCTCGCAAAGCTCCTACCTTTTTCCTTCCATACATGGCCTTTTGAGCTACAAAGGCCAAAAGATTACTCTGTTGCTTGCATGGGGACTCCCATGGAATAAAGCTTGCACCTTTATGCCATAATAGTCCTTAATGGTTGTAGATCTGAAACATAAGCCTTTGGGACGACCGTTTCTCACATGCTAGGTTTGTTGGACCCAAAAAACCCTCGTAAAGTGACTAAGAAGACATATATCAAGCTAAACGTCAAGGTGGAAACTTGATTACCAGAAAATAACGAGGATATGGTGTTGCTTCCGGATCTACACTTCCTCTCTTGAATCCCCAAGGTTTCTCCTTCTTCTTCAAGCATCAAGGCACTCAAGAACACTCATAAATGGCTCACAATCTCATGGAAAGCAATAGGGTTTTGTGGGTTAGGGTTTGGATAGTGGGGGCTGAGAATGGGGCTGAAAGGTGGAGAATAAGATGCTTAAATAGGGGACTAAAGCCTGAGTTTAGGGTTTCCCAAACCCAAACCAACTTGCAGAGTTGGTCCTCCAACTCGTCGAGTAGGTCACTTAACCCGCGTCACAAAAGTCACTCCTACTCATCGACTCATCCCTCTGGACTCGATGAGTACACTTCTTGACTTGAGATTTTCCTTTCTTGTATAGGTCTTTTGAATTCGGGGTGTTACAACTGTATCGA